TGGAAAGACATCCCCTGCTCATGGATTGGAAGAATTAACATTATCAAAATGGCCATCTTACCAAAAGCAATTTACAGATTCAATGCTATTCCAATAAAAATTTCAATGACATTCTTCAAAGAAATAGAACAATTACTGATGAAATTCATATGGAATCACCAAAAACCCCAATTAGCCAAAGCTCTCCTGAAAAGAGAAGGGAGGCATCACACCCAGATTTCAAACTATACTACAAAGCCATAATCATCAAAACTGCATGTTATTGGAACAAGAACAGACACACAGACCAATGGAACGGAATAGAAAATCCAGAAATTAACCCACACATTTATGGTCAACTAATCTTTGACAAAGGAGCAAAGAATATGCACTGAAGCAAAGAAAGTTTGTTCAATAAATAGTGCTGGGAAAATTGGGTTGATACATGCAAAAGAATGAAGCTTGACTACTACCTCACACCATGCACAAAAACCAACTCAAAATGGATTAAAGAACTAGACATAAGACCTGAAACCATAAAATACATAGAAGGAAATATAGGCGAAACACTACGGGATTTGCACATCAAAGACATCTTTACAGACACATCACCCAAAGCAGTGATAGTGAAGGCAATGATAAACAGCTAGGACTACATCAAATTAAAGAGCTTCTGCACAGCAAAGGAGACAATAACAAAAACAAAGAGAAACCCCACCGATGGGGAGAAAAATTTTGCACACAACACTAATGATAAAGGACTGATCCCAAAAATCTACAAAGAGCTGATGAGACGCAACAAAAACAAAGAAAATCCAGTCAAAAAAATGGGCAGAAGAGCTAAAAAGAAAGTTCTCCACAGAGGAAATGCAAATGGCCAACAGGCCTATGAAAAAATGTTCATCACTTGTAATCAGGGCAATGCAAATCAAAACTACAAAGAGATGCCATCTTACACCAGTGAGAATGGCACATATTAAGAAAGACTAGCAACAACAAATGTTCCTGAGGATGTGGAGAAAAAGGAACTCTCCTGCACTGCTGGTGGGAGTGCAAACTGGTCCAACCACTATGGAAATCTGTGTGGATATTTCTTAACCTGCTAAAGATAGAGCTTCCATATGATCCAGCAATTCCACTCCTAGGTATTTATCCAAAGGACACAGAAACATTAATTCAAAAGGGCTCCTGCTCCCCAATGTTTATAGCAGCACTATTTACAATAGCTAAACTGTGGAAACAACCCAAATTCCCAAAAATAGATGACTGGATCAAGAAGATGTGGTATATATACGCAATGGAATATTACTCAGCAATCAAAAAAGATAAAACTCATGCAATTTGCAGCAACATGTATGGAATTGGAAGGGATCATGCTCAGCGAAATAAGCTAGGAAGAAAAAGAAAAATACAGGATGGTCTCACTCATAGCAGGAATTTAGAAAACCTAAATAAGGGACCTGGAAAAAGACTAAATGCAATAAAGTAAAAATCAAAATCAACAAGCAACTATAGACCAGAGACACACTATGGTGGGGGGTGTGGGTGGAGAAGTGGGATTAGGATCAGAATAAGGGGGGTGGGAATTGTATGGGGAATATCACCAAAATGAAAATGCATACATTGTGCAAAAATAAAAATGATGTAAGAATTATATAAAATAATTTATTAAAAAAATAAACTGGTCACTTCATATGACCACAGTTGGCAGGGAGATGGAGCATAGGACTTGAATTTAGGGTAACCGTAAAATCAACAGAATCTGTCAGGCTGGTGATGTTTAGCTACCCGTAAGTATATTTCGCTACCCATAAGTATAAATACTAACGTATTTAATGATACTGATAATCTTGAAATTCCGCCTTATGGGCATTGAACATCTATTCCTGCAAGTTTGTGCCAAGTATGCTGTCTTTAAGCTTCCTTGCCATGCCACAAGCTGAACTAAACAATGAATGCTCAAGTCTTAAAGGTAAAAATGACATCTAACTAATTCTCATTTATTTTATCCAGCATTACATTTCTACTTAATTTTACTTGACATCATGTCAGTTTTTTATGGATTGCAATGTAGGCTAAATCACTAGCAATAAAAAAATCTGGGTTTAAATAAAAATTACAATCCCACCATCCATCCATTAACTCTGTGACCTTGGGTAAATTACTTAATCTCTTAATTTTTACAAGGGGTATAATAGTAGCATATGATTTATACATTTTAATAATTGAGTTAATTTATGGAAAGTATCAGCACAGTGGTTGGCTTATAGAAAGGATGCTCAGTGAGGAAAAAAACAGTGTACAAACAGTGGGGATGGAGGAACACTTTGACTCCAGTGACATACAGTGGCATCTGGCAATGTAACTGTATCAGAAAGTGACCATTTCCACATAATTTACAGAGAAGAATCAAGACAGACATTTTATTTTTGAAAATATTTGTTGTCATCAAAATACTTGTTCTGGGTATTGCCATTCCAATAAGGTGGCTTCATTCCCTTGAACATATCTTAGCCTTGATAAATAGAAACTGGCTTGCTTGAAACGCTTCACAAGTATATTCCCTAGACCAGGGTTAAATTCTATTTATCTGCAACATTTAGTGGAGTGCCTACTGCAGAGTAAGTGGTCAAGGCAAGTTTAAATTTAAAAAATCTTCAAATCACATAGTGTAGTAGCACAAAGTACAAATACATTACATACTTTTAAAATGCACAAAGATGCATGTTAGGTATAAGTGTGAGTGCATGTGTGTGTGTTTAAATTAGTGTAGAACAAAGACAACTCAAGGCAAAACCACCATACCCTTGCAACAACAATTACATTACACAAGCATTAGTCTGAAGTCTTCTTTTGGATGTAGTTCTAATTCAGAAGATGAACTTTTTCTATACATGCCTAATGTTCACAAAAGATGATACTTATTGGACTTATTTCTAGCTGAACCATCGGAGATTTTCTCATGTAACATGTTAGTTGAATCATAAGAAGAGTCAGTCTACGCGGCTAGGCTGGTAAAATCTTCCTCACATTTTTCTTTGTTTATATTGCTCAGCAAGGACAAAAGATATTATTAGTGTTCAGACAATAATTATTGAATTTGACCATGTTCTTTTCTCTTTCCTAGCCATACCTATAGTGGAAAACAATACACTTCATCTGATTCATCATAACATAAATCTGAGCTATTTCCTGAATGAATTTAAACAGTTAGGTCACATATATTGTTCTCCGTTATCTTCTGAGTCTCAGTGGAACAAGTCTGAAATTGAGGCACATAAGACACAAAAGTCTTCTGTGTCTTCTGACCAGAAGTTCCTAAGTTGACGTTACTTTCTACAACGTGTGAGCAACTGTCCGGGAGGACCCTGACGTCATTGAATAAGCAATGGTCTGGTAATGGGCCTAATACTCTTGACTCATTGGTCAAAAACATACCACGCTCTCTTTTTTTGATTGAAGTGACGCCTAAATAAGAGACAGACTTTTCATCATTATTTTCTTCAGAGAAATCTCCCTCAAATTTCAAAAATTCATCCAGTCCTTCTGAGAATGTAAGGGGTGGGGAAATTATATTGGGATGCTGATCTGATGGTATAAAAAGTGCCTGGGCTTCTATTTCCCGTGAACTATTAGAGAAAGAATCCTTTGACAGAGAATTTTTGCTAGAGAAGCACCTGCTGACTGAACTATTTATAAGCCCTTGCTTTTCATTAGTTTTACTCGATTTAGAGTTGCTGACCAGGGCGGCATATTTAACAAATTGTCTCCTGCTTTCACCCTCGCAGGTTATTTCAGTGCTCTCAGCCTCAGAAAAGTTAGCACTGGTATGCTGTTCACTAGAACCCTTTTCAAGATTCGGGGTTGTCAAAAGTAGAGAGACCTTAGGTGCTGGCACCATCTCATCTTGACATTTCCATGACGTATCAACACTGATATCTTCTGAAATGGCTTCAGGCTCCAAAAGAAGAGGACCAAATGTCACTGATTCTGTATGCTTGATAAAAAGATGCTCAAATGTTTCTGGCTAAAAGAAAAGACATATTAATGCTAGATTGTATTTTTTTTCTTTTGCTTTCCTATGACATGCTTGCTGAAATGGAAGTGTGAAAGGTTAATAAAGGACATATTTTGACCACAAATTAATTGGTTTTGGACAGAAATATACCAAAATTCATATGGGAGTCTAAGATAAGTGTTTAAAAGTGGATGTGACAGACTTAGGTTTGAGTCCCATTTTTGTGACTATGGACAAGTATATTCACTTTGTTGCCTTTCAATTTCTTATAAAGTGTTTAATATTTACTTCATGGCACTGTGGTAAGAAATAAATTTGATAGCATCTGAAAGTACTCAGCTCGGAAAGTGTTACCTTTTGACATATTCCTATCTAATGCGTATTCCTATATAATATTTTATATAAATTAGAGTTGCACAAACAAAAATTTTAAACCCCAAATAAAGTTAATTGAAGTAAAATCAAATGAACAAAATATTGTCCAAAGATAGTTAAAAATAACTATTCTGGGCCTCCCCAGTGGTGCAGCGGTTGAACGCTGGGTTGTGAAGCTGCCCGCAGCCTCTTCAGCACCAGTTCCATCCCTGGCCACCAGGCAAGGTTCCCACATGGCACGCAGACCTCTCCTGCTGCACCCGCTGCTCCCCTCAGCAGTGTATTTCATCAGTCTGCCTGTTCTGCTCCCTGCTCTGGCTCTGGTGAATTCTCTCACCCTCCTGCGCTTCTGACTATACCCAGTGCTTGTATAAATAAATAAATAAATATTAAAAAAAAAAAAACTATTCCATGATATAAGATATGATATGAAGGTAAAATATTTGTTATGACTGTTAAGAACATAATTGCTTTATATCATATTAAGAATGTTTAAGACTATGTGAAAATGAGAACTAAGCACTACTTATTTGTTGAAAACAATGAAGGTGAAAGTAAGACAGACTTTAAAATTACTATTCCTTATAAATAACTTCAAATAAAATACATAGTATGAGATGTGGAATGAAGACAAAGACACAAACAAATGCATATCATTTTTCTTTATAAGAATGGTGGTTACATCACAACAAAAAAATCCTGCAAACAGCCACAAATCAATAATTTGTGTGCAAAAAGCTCAACTCATACAATGTAAAAATACTGAGAAAATAAATGTAAAATAAAGAATACTGTGCATACATCACATTGAAAAATCACAACTAAATGAAGTGATAGAGTAATATGTTCAATTTTTATCATACAAATAATTGACCTTTTGAATTTTTCAACTTTTAAACTAATTAGTGAATTCAAATTTATTGCTGAAATGATATAATCAACTAATATTCAAAATAGTAAGTATATTCCAAATAAAAACACAATTAACTTGGCATCATTTTTAACTCTTATGTGAAATATATTGGTGATTATAATCATAAAAGAATATAACAAACACTATAATACTAATGTAATAGAGATGTAGATATTAAAATACTGCATAATGACAAATTACCATGTTAACACAACCTTTTATCTATGAATATAATATATGAAGAGAAAACTGGTTCCTGTGCCTATTTTCTTTCTGAAAGAAATCTATGAATTAGATTTATGATCTTTCAAATATTTGCTTGCTCATTTTATTTACTCTAAAGGCCACTGTGTTTCACATTTCTTAAAATTTAAATGAACCTAGGTATTAAGATCATCAAATTAAGGAATAACTATGAAAACAAAAAATACACACAAACAGCTCATAGCATGCAGTCAGCCTCAAATATTTTCTTTAAATGATGTGTTTGACACAATGCATGCCCTCAAACACTTCATAATTGGTGAATAATTACTGATACCTACAATTTTACATGTTCTCAAATACATTCAGGTGGCAGATTTCACTAATAAAAATAAACACCCACATACTATTGAAATGTACTTTTTCAAGGGGTCATAAATCTTTATTAAAAGTATGTTTTTAAAAAATCATTTTCAATCATTATAAGCACCTAATTTTTCAAGGTTTTAGCAAAATCTTGGCTCTTATTAACTAGGCATTCAGCTGTTATGAATTAAAGAAAATCCTTTCAATATTTTACACTTGGATTTCACATTCCAGTAACATCTGTTAATGTTACTGGAATGTTCTTTCTGATTTTGTGTTATTTTTTAAGATTCTAATAAAATTATGAATGAAATATAAATATAAGTGATCCATATATAGCCTAATTCTGAACATGATTTGAGAGCATCAAACAAAGGCTTTGGTTTAGTTTGAAAGTGAGAATAGCATGCTTAATGTGCTAAATTCATAAAAAAAGCAAGTTGTCTGTTTTCAGGAAGAAAAATTGTAGGCCTCCCCAGGAACTGTTTATAAAACTGCAAAGTCTCCCTTTTTTGCGTCACTGTCCAACTTCCCTTTCTGCCAGAAGCTTTGGGTGGTTCAGTATAAATAAAATTAGATTTAGGCAAGAATTTCACAAGAAAGCAGGATTGGAGATTGATGTGTCTTTCTGATCTGGTCAATCTGACCTGAATATGTTGGGTCATCCTGATATGAAATGTAACTGCCACGGGCTTATGACCAGCACAAACCGCAACTTCTGGCTTTCTTTGAACGGAAATGGAAGTTAGCACTTAAGCCATTTTTAAGGCTACTGAGAATTGAAATTCCCAGACTGACCAAATTTAGACACACATAAAAACTACAGGACATTAAAAAGAACACACAAGTGGGTCAGTTTATGTGGCGAGTTATCTCCAAAAGAATATAAAATGGAAAACTTTGGAAATTAAAATATAAACAATACTTTTACTGCATTCAGTGATTAGTGATTGAACTTGCAAAACTGTGTCAGTAGTTGCAGTTTTCACCTAGTGACAGCACTGTTTATGATCTATTTGATGATATTGCATAGATACGTGGTAGCAGGAGAAATCATGAGTTTTTAATGTTTTATGTCCAGACAAATGATAAATAGAAAACCAGATATCTAAATTTAAATTTTTAAATTTAGATGAACTGAAAAGTAATCATAATCCAAAATGAACTGGACTCAGACCTCTATCTGGACCCCAAATTTACCCATCAATTTGAAGTTTTAAATCAACATAACCCACCATACTTTAGTTCTCAATAGTTCAACCAAAATTTTTTAGATTTTTCTCCCCTTCTTCAAAATGTAAAAATCTTCTAATACTCTATAGAATGTTGGGAAGTTGGTATATTGGGTTCATCTGCAGTGATCATGATTAGACTTCAAAGAATGTCCGTTCTCTGTTCAGATAAAATAAAACAAAATAAGAAAGCAAAATGAAAACAAATCACTCAGAAAGCAAAAGATAAGATCTTAAAAATATTTTTTGTCAGACAAGGATTCTGGACTATAAATCTTTGTCCTACATTAGAGTAATACTTCTTTTTTAAAAGGCAAAATTTTTTAATTAAAGTATCCTCTTCCAGCTTTCTCAATATTGTATCTAGGGATACTCTGCATTATCGCAGAAAAGGAGAAACTATAGAGAAGCAAAATAAGGAAAACGAAGAAGAAAAGAACAAAGAGGTGGAAAAATAAAAAAGGGATTGGGAGAACAACAGCAACAGTTTGTAAAGAGTGAAATAATAGAGCAGTGAAAACAAAATGTAAAAATTAAAAGAGCTGAAATAGTGAAGATCAGAATCACAAAATCATAATTATGATTTTTCAATGGAGAAAAATGATCTAAAAAATCTGTCTCTCCTGTCTCTGTCTCTTCCTTTTTGTAGACAAAACAACTGACACCCGGGCCTCCCCTGGTGGCGCAGCGGTTGAGCGTTGGGCTGCGAGGCTGCCTGCAGCCTCTGGCTCCTTCTGCAGTGCTCGTTCCTTCCCCCGCCGCCTGCGAGGGTCCCACAAAAAAAAAAAAAAAAAAAACAACAAAAAACAACTGACACCCATTGGAATAAGATATGAGTCAATTACACAGTGAAATGACGGAGAAAAATGAGGACACTGACTTAGTTCTTTTCACCAGTCCAACAATCTTTCTATAACACCATAGAAGATGAAAAGATAGCCCAAACGCAAGAGATAGAACTTGTTTTTTTGCTTCGCTTTTCTACTTCCTGTGGTAAAGTTGAGTTTGATTAATTCATCCTCTCCTTAAGTTCCTGAAAACATAGAGGAGATTTTGCAAACCTCTCTACAAACATTAAGAAAAACAAGAAAATAAAACCAAAATCATCTTTTAAACAAGTGAAATATACACATCTAGACCCAATAAATAAGCACAGGGAAGAGGGTTACTTCTAAATACTTCTAACTTGAAACTGCACCAGCTCTTCCACACCTCTGCAAAATCATTCTATCAATTTAAGAGTCTTGTGCCTCAGATCTGTTAGGACAGTGTTCTGAGAGTCCTTGGGTACTTGAGTTTCTTCTTTGGGGGTCTAAGGCCGCTGAGTTATTTAGGATGGTGTTTAAATCCCAAGGAAAAATCCATTTGGTTTGTTTCCATATTCCTAAAAAAGTATTCTTGTAAAAATTGACATAAATTTTGACAAAGGAACAAGTTTCAGCCAAAAAAACAAAAACAAAAAAAAAAAAAAAAAAAACACACACAAGTTATTTGGATTCAGAGGGAAAAAATGATAGATAAGACAAAAACACCAAAGAAAATGGCAAAAAATAAACTGAGAAACACCGTGAAATGTTATTAAGGATAAAAAGCAACTATTAGCTCACTATAATAAAGCATGATTAAACTTTTGTTTAATTCTAGTTCTTAAAAATATCCAGAGAAATGCTAGAGAGGGCCTCCCCGGAGGCGCAGCGGGTTGAGCACAGAGCTGTGAAGCTGTCCGCAGCCTCTGTAGCACAGGTTCGATTCCCAGCTAGCCAGGGAGATGCCCACATGGTGCGGCAGACCTCTCCTGTCTTGCCAGCTGCTCCCCTCAGCAGTGCTTTCGGCCCCTCTGCCTGTTCTGCTCCCCGCTCTGTCTCTGGTGAATCCTCTTACACTCCCGCACCTCTGGCCTATACCCCAGCTATTGTATAAATAAAATAAATCTTTAAAAAGAAAAGAAAAAAAATGCTAGAGAGAAGAGGAGAATTCTGGTTCAAGATACAGACTCAGCATTTATATCTGACTCTTGTTTCTGTAGATACTGGTGAAATAAAAGTACATGAATAAATCAAACACAGACCCACAACGAAAAGATAATCCAAGAAGGTTAATAGAGAATGAATAATTTGAAATCATTTCTAAAAGATGAGAAATGACTGAGTACAGGCCAAGGAAGATGAGCAAAAAAGGGAGCAACAGAACAGAAATTCACCAGAAATTGGGCCAACTGAAGACAAAGCCAGTTAATATGAGACCTGAGGCAGAAATTGAAAACTGCATATGGAACAAGGCTCTTCTACTTTGCTGCACAAGGAAGAGCCTTCCTGTAACAATTACTCTTCACATCCAGATTGAGGGTTTGTCTCAACAGCAACTAAAGAACTGGGAGAAACCGAGCAGCTTGGGCATAGATCTCACTGAGCACATCTTTCCTCATCTGGTGGGAACCCTGCCTGTCACTCAGGGCATCAACCTTGCTTACATGCTCCAGTCTCTCAGTCAGCTTTTCTACTACATTAAACTTACCATTTCAACTATTTTTCAGTGTACAATTCAGGGGCAATAAGAATGTGAAGAATATATTGTTAATATAGAATTGAAGGGAGGGTATCAGTTGAGTCATAAAATCCTGTCCATATATGAAAAACTTGAACCAAGTTTTATGATTTATGAAACAAACTATTGAACCACTTTGTGCCTCTTATGTCAGCAAAAAATATAAGGTTATTATTAGGTCTATGAATTAATTAAATAACAAATATGAAAACAGAGGAAATAACAAATTTGCCTTGTGTTCTTAAGTAATAAAACATGAATTATACTGTATTATTTTTCTCTAAAAAAGCAAATGTTCCTTACTCTGAAGATTAAAGCAGAAATCAGGATGTAATTGAACTTTTAGAAAGTTATCTTAGTAAAATCTATGACATATATTCTTCTTCACTCTTCATATATTCATGTTATTCCCAAAATGATTTATCCCTAAATGTGTTACTTGTTGACCTATCAAGCCCTATTAATAAGCTAAGCATTATGAGAGCCAGTTATACATAAGAACATCTTATGAGATTATAAAGTCAAATATATGCAGAGATAAAATATAGATACCTCTGAGTCATACACAGTATAGGAAAACAATGTTACCTCAATTTAAAAAAATCAGCCTCACAATTAAAGATATTCAGGCCTACTGTAGGTATATTAAAAATTCTGTACTCTTCTTTAATTTACCAGAACCTCAGGAAATGTGATAGTTCATCCTACTTGCCAGATGATCTGCTGTGGCATTATGCTCATCTTCACAGAGCATATATGAGGCAGTGGGGTAGTCTACAAACACTCATTGATTCAACCTACATCCACTGCCTTGTTCCTGTGTACCAGGCATTTTCTAGAAAAGGGAAAAATTATTTGGTGCAGATTCAGACTGCTTTTTGTTGAAGTAGGCCTGACTGATTCACTGTCCAGGTAATTAAAAGTCATTGTCATAGTGGTACATGGGGGGAGATATCAGAGCTTAACCTAATGAAGAGAGAACGCTTTAACTTCAATTAAAGAGGCAGTAAGATGGGCTTTCCCTGCATTAATATATACATCACAATGAAGCCCTTAAAATTTTATTTGGATGTATATTTATATTCTTCACCAAAAAAAGCCTCTTATACTAAAAAAAAAAAAGTCCTCAAATTTAAGAAAAATATCTCCTTACTCTTTACTGTCTACACTCCCTATTTCCAGTCTGTGAAAGTGCTAAGGTCCTTTCATCACATGGCTTTGCATCTGTAAGTGGCCTGGCCTGGTCTTTAGCCCTCCACCACAAAATCTAGTTAGTGACTATTCATCTTCCAGACTTTACCTCAAATGTTGCTTTCACATCTTTACCTGCTCACCCTTCCCATCCACACTGAACTCTTAGCATCGAATTCCCCTCATTCACAACATGCAGCTTACAATTATTATCTGCAACATTGCTAAGATAAATTAAATATTTATACTACCATAATATGTAATATATAGTGTATGTCAAATAATGTATATTATTTAAAGTATATTTATTTATTTAATGTATATTATTTAAATAATGAATATTATTAAAATGTATATTTTTTAAAGATTTACTTATTTATTTATACAAGCACTGGGTACAGTCAGAAGCGTGGGAGGGTGAGAGGATTCACCAGAGCCAGAGCGGGAAACAGAACAGGCAGACTGACGAAGAAATACACTGCTGAGGGGAGGAGCGGGCATGGCAGGAGAGGTCTGCGTGCCATGTGGGACCCTCGCCAGCAGCCAGAGATTCAGCCGGAGATTGAACCAGCGCTGTACAGGCTGCGGGCAGCTTCGCAGCCCAGCATGCAACCGCTGCACCACCAGGGGAGGCCTTAAATAAATATTCTGGAGATGGAAAGAAGACAACTTCTTTCTATATGTATTAAACCCAGTCACTATGACCTCACCACCTCATTTCCTATATCGTAAGCAATATTTCTCAAAATTTTGTTTTCCCGGGGCTCCCTGGTGGCACAAGGGGTTAAGGCGCAACCTATGAAGCTACTGGCAGCCACTGAGGCATGAGTTCGATCCCCGGCCAGCTAGCTACCCACATGGAGCAGCAGATCTCTCCTGACTCACCTGCTGCTCCCCTCAGCAGTGTATTTCAGTACATCTGCCTGTTTTGTTCCCTACTCTGTCTCTAGTGAATCCTCTCACCCCCCACACCTCTGGCCTGTACCCCAGTTCTTGTGTGCATAAATAAATCTTTAAAAAAAAATTGTTTTCCCAAAGTCTAGCAGCAACCTAGATTTACAGATTAGTACATTCACTGAATGAATGACAATACTATATTGCTGAAATGGCACTGTAACTGCAATGTCACCATATGAATTCAGAATGGAGGAGAATGGAAAGGAGAAAAGAGAAATAAATATTTTACTACTGAAAAAAAATCATCTGCTGTTAAGGGACTCCATGGCTTATAGTGAGCAAAGGTTAACTGAGAAATGAGGAGGCATTGGGGCTAAACTCAAAGAAATTTCTACAAAGACTATGATCATATGTAAAACTACACTGCTGCCTAGTTTGAGGATAATCTCTTCTGCTGAAAGACTGCAATTTTTATGTCCACAATACTACATATGTGTTCATTCATAAATAAGCCATAAAGCAGTGTTTTTCTGACTGCAAATCATAGGCCAATTAGTATGTAGGATTAATTTAGTGGGCTGCAATCTTTATTTTTAAAAAATGAAATAGAATTTTGAAAACAAAGGTAATTGCAAGAATAAAAGGGTTTTCAGCATTGTTTCTTTCATTTTGCATAACTACATCTATGCATATACTAGGTTGCAACATAAAATATATTGCTTAATATGAGTCATAGTTAAAAAGTAACTGAACGTCACTGTCATAGAGAACAGTTATTAATAAAACAGTCTTCGAAGTTAAACAAATTGGCAAGCTAAACTTGGCTCTAACACAAGTTTCCTAACCACTACAAGCTTCAATTTTCTCTTCTATAAAATGGAGACAAGTATTTAGAGGGTAGGTGAAAGCATAAGAATAATGTGAAATATGTAAAGTAGTGATAACTGATATTTAATGAGACCTTACTCAATTGCAAGTACTATTTTCTTTGATCTCCCAAAATAACCCTATGACGTTCTATCAACCTCATTTTACAGAAAAAGTCATTGAAAATAAAGTAAATATTAATGCATGTATGAGATTGTATCTCAGTGATTTGAACATAAATAAATGGACATTGTTTTTACGATTACCAGCAATGCTTCCATGAATCCTACTTCAATACTTTGTATGCCATATGAACAGGGGGTGTTCAACAAATATCCACATGAACAAAACACAGCCCTTGAACTTGGGGTATGCTTCGCAATAAATTAAATGCTCTGGGAACTAAGAGGGAGAGTAATGCTTTTGAACCACATTTGCTGAAAGAAGTCTTAGAAAAGAAGAGCCTTAGACAGAAGGTCTTCATTGACAGAAGGGCCTGGAGAGGTGGAAGGGAATAGAAAAAGATGATCAAGACCCATGGACAGAAAAAATTGGATATGTAGGCTGATAATAGAGTATAGAGAGAAGTCATTGAGTACTAGCTGAAAGGGACTTTATTTTGTAGCTAAAGGAAACCAAGACTATCCTCAGTGACCAATGATTAAAATGTAATTATTAGATTGCATTAAAACTTCTGTATGATTATTATTAAAAATATTTTGTAGATAGTTTGACACGAAAACTAAGTTTTTTTTCCCCAATTTTAGGAGTGGAAACTCAGCCTTATTTGAGGGAAATTATAAGAATTAGTAAAACATTCATTAAACTGCAGAGCTTTTTGAGAAAGCCTATTGCAGATGTAAGTACAAATTATTTTACTATTAATGACTAATTTTTTCATGAAGTACTTTAGCTTATTTCATAAAGAATGGACTATCTGCATAAAATAAAGTTTTGGTATGATAACTATATTTTTCAGATTGTAATGTTTGAGGATAGGATTATTTGTATAGTTTTTTTCATTTATTTAAATGATTGTGGAAATAATTATTGGGATTAATAATTTAAGTTAATAATTAAAAATGATTCTAGGTTTTTGTCTAAGGACAATCAATTTGTACCAAAAAAATGTATCCAAATATTGATTCTCCTCAGATTTGACTCATTATTCTGACATTTATCTCATTATATATCAATATCTAACACAGAAGCAATATGTCCATTGTTAACTCTCATATGATGAACTATCTACTGAATTTTGTTTCCTCCTCATTTTAGATCCCTGCATCCTGCTCTTCTTGAAAATATATTATAGACTAAATAGAATCACATTAAAATAAATAGATTAAATAAGAAATTTTAAACCTTAAAAATGTTTAAAACTCTAGAAGACACATAGTATCCAAAATCAGTCATATGCTTGGTGGGAAAAAAAATGAAAAATGGACCTTCTGAAAATTAATTCCTTGTGCCCAGGAACAATTCTTGGGGTTTGGAACATCTTCCCAAAACAGTTTTTTCATCCTACAAAGGATAAACAACACATTAGAATTAGAGAAAACATCCATATTGAAAATGCTAACAGTTACTGATGTATAAAGTAGAAATTAATCCAGCAGACTAGCTATGCTTCAATAGGGTCAGATTCATTTTCACATGCTATCCCATGAAGATTTCCACCAATGTTCTGTCTAGACCAAAGTAACAATCACTACAGTAATAAAAATATCCAATATTTATTGAAAAAAAAATTTGCCAGGCACAGTGCATAGATTTTTCTGAGAAAACAAAATATTAAAAATGGCCAATAACTGAGTTTCAGAAGCAATTCTACTTGTTAAGGCCTCACTTGCTTACTTGAGTGAAAGATAAAAATCTGATTCTAAAATCTCCTCTCCCTTTTATATGTGCTAGAAGACAAAAGTCTCTGTAGCGATTTGGCATGTGTGAAATAAAGTCACTGGTCTGGACCCCTCTGGAGAGGGTCATGTGGTCCCCATTTGTCATCCAAGATATTCATGGTCATTGCAAGAAAGACTGTAGCCACAAATTGCCAATTTTTAAAAAGTAAAGGGCTTACTGATCTTTAATGCACAGACTGCCCTTCACCACTTAAAGTCCTCAATCCAAAATACACAGCTCTGAAAGTCATTGTTTCACCTCCAAGAACATACTGCCAAGCATTTCCTAATAAGTTTATTTCCTTACATATAATACATTTAAAAAAACAATATCTTCTATGAGGTTTATGTTGTATTAGCAAAACAAAACGTGGCTTCCTTCAAAGGAAGCTTTTCTTTTTATGTCTCCTTATTGGTATACAGACTATAAATAAAAATATTCAGAATACTTTAATGTTTCTGGCCTGGATTTTAAATCAAAGTTTAAATATGCTGAAGATTCTTAACATCAAGTACAATACCTTCGATGTGATATTAACAACGTTCCAAACAGTAAGACTGAAGAGGAAATAATTATTGGCAAAATTACATATAAACCCACATGATTCTGATGTTTTTCAATACCATCTGAAAAAGAAAAGCCATTTTTACAACTCAGAAGCTTAAGATAATAACTTTCTATAACAAAAATTATAATAGACTTTTTCTGACTTCATCATAAATCATAATAACTTTAAAATATAAAAATTTAAAAGGGGAAGTAAAATTATAGTTATGATCACATTAATAAAAACAATTGTTTTGTTCAAAATTATGCTTATAATTTAGTAAAACATGTTTTCAAAATTACTTGTTTGCCAGTTCTCTTCATCTATGCATTTTTAGGTTATGTAAGTCAAACGATTAATATTGTTACGACTGTTTCAGCATCTGCTTCCAGACAAGCCAAACTGCAACACATGCCCATCTTGATCAGGTTCACCTAGTAGCTCTAACCTCCTTTCTGTGTCTTAAACCACCAGAGATCTCACTTTTCAGGGTCTCTGCACTTGCTGTCTTTTGCAGACTTGTTCTTCCACCATTTACTTGCAAGGTCTTACTCAAATATTTCCAGAGAAAAAAATACCTTTTTCTGATCATTCTAACTAAATACCTATTTCTGATTAATTTTAACTTTGTCCCCTCATCTTACTTTTATTTTGCTTCATGGCCCTTTCTACCTGACATCATACTATACATACTTGTTAATCGTCTGTCATTCCCATTAGAACACTAGAGGTTAAGCTTCGCAAGAGCAGAGGCTTATATTCCCTACTCAAAATCTTGAGTTTAGAACAGCATTAAACTAAAATTTTGTAAATAAGGTATGAATGATTTTTTAAAATAATAATTTTAATTAAAGAACCAGGTAAAATGTTTCTGTCTCAAAATTATATTACTGGAGTGTATGGATTTCAAGCCATTTTGAAGTATCATAGCAAAATCAGAATGTTGATACACTGCGTATGAATCAGAAATTAAGAATTCTAGTAAGCTTATGACAATTTGTATCTATCTCCTCATTTTTTATTTTTAGAGAAAAAAAATCAGAAAAGTTAAATTACAATTTAATGATTCATAAATATGTGCTACCAAATGTATTGTTTAGGGATAGATGCATTTACAAGAATTTCACAGAAAATTACAATTTTCCAATTAATCTTTATAATGATGTATGTTATTACATAGCAACTTGAATGTGAAAATTTTACTTAACAATATGAAATTTCAACACCATGCCTGATGATTCTTCTTGCTATCAGCTTGGAATCACAACCCCTTCCTGGAGATCCCCATGACACAGCCACATAAGACTCTGAACTCTTTCATGATTCCATCAGAAAGAGAATGACCAGTTGCCAACATTACTGCTAAGAAGGAAACCATATATCTGCACAAGACAAAACTAAAAGTAAAAATTTTACCTTGGGTAAAACTACTAATTATCTTCGGTTTCCCCACTCCTTCCATAAATATTGGGTAAAGACTGAACTGATAACTTTCAATTGGAATAAAATGATCTAAAAAGAAAAATAAATTAAAGGTCATTCCCACTGAATTAATATTAACAAGTGAATTCTTTGTAAAAATTTTTAAGTGACTCTCATATTTCCAAACAGAAATTAGTTGCTACTTATGGATTGAAATTGATGATTAAGGGAATTTCTAAAACAACATAACCACTCCTAGTTCTACTAGAATTGACAATAATTTCCAAATAACTTGCAGATTTTAACTACAGATAGAAAGTGGAACTTTTCTGAAGGCATGTTCTAGTGACAGCCAACTTCTTCAAGTTGAGGGTGGATGAGTTGTTTTACTTCCCTGTCCAGGACAGCATGCTTGACCTCCCCATCCATATCCCAAGTCAGCAATACTCCCTTTACATAGGATTTAACTTATGTATACTTTATTCCCTCAACCAAGGCAGCTGACAGAGTACATAAAGTCTTGTAAAATCCTATATAATGAAGATTGGGGGCAGGGAGGCAGGAGCAAAAATCTTGCAATATCCAGGGATCCAGATCAAAGGAGGCAACCACCTCCATGACAAAGCTCAAAATGAACCCATCAGTGATCTATCATTTAGAGAAGTGCTATTAATATATTTTTTAAGATTTTATTTATTTTTGCATAGAAGAACTGGGGTGTAGGCCAGAGGTGTGGGGGTAGTAAGAGGATTCACCAGAGATATAGTGGGGAGCAGAACAGGCAGATCTACTGAAATACACTGCTGAGGAGAGCAGCGAGCGAGACAGGAGAGGTCTGCTGCACCATGTGGGTCAGCTCCCTGGCGGGGGATTAAAATCAGGTGTAGAGGTGATAGCATGATAGTGCTGAGACTTAGGCCACCAGGGAGGTTCACAAGTGCTTTTAATATATAAGTATTATTCCAAAGGAGATAAATCTCTCTGGAGCCTAAATTCTTTTTTTTTTTTAAGATTTATTTATTTATGCATACAAGAGCTGTGTTGCAGGCCAGAGGCACAGAGAGATGAGAGGATTCACCAGAGACAGAGGAGGGAGCAGAAAAAGGCAGATCTACTGAAATACACTGCTGAGGGGAGCAGCGGGCAAGACAGGAGAGGTCTGCTGCACCATGTGGGTCAGCTCCCTGGCTGGGGATTGAACTCGTGCTGCAGTGGCTCCAATAGCTTCATAGTGCTGACTTAACCCTTTGCGCCACCAGGGAGGCCCTGGAGCCTAAATTCTATACCACATGATTTAAAGAAAAACAGGGATTAACCACCTGGTGATGAACCAAATTTTGTTCTCTATCACTAGTTTGCTTCTATTTACTCTGATTGCTAAAGTCTAGGTTTTTGGAAGAAATAAAATGATGAGTCTTTGGGATGATATTGTATAGTAAGGTCAGGGTGATCCCTCATTTCCCTACTTGAACTTCACTCTGACTTGGGAATGCTTTTGTACTCTTTTACTTTGCACTGTAATCACCTCCTGAGGCAACTGGTCTGTATGGGGGAGTCTATGTTGACCTATGTTACCAGGTCCTACATCCTCAAACCTTCAGGCTGGCACGTCCTCTCCTGGCTAGTGGTTTATATGTTGGTACACAATTTAGGAAAACAATTTGGCAGTAGATAGCAAAAGCCACCATAAAAGTTATAATAGTTGGAAACAACATAAACATTCCCAAATAAATGAATAAATTAAGTAGATTTTGGAATAAAATGCTGATAGGGTAGGAGCAGGGGAGAGAGGAAGCCCAATGGAGCATGGTGGAGGATTACTATGGTTACTTTGGTGGTGGGTATGGTGTGAAAATATTGATTTGTTGAGGTTTGAACTTATAACTCCTAAAAAACCACAGTGATGTAAACAAACTTTACCTTAATTTAAAAAAAAGAAAAAATAATGATTACAACAGTACAAATTATTTAAATGTCAAAGGGTCAAATGAAATAAATGTCTGTGATAAGGTGATAGAATTACATGGATTAAGTTGGCAGAATCTATATTTTTGAAGTTCTCATTAACTCATTATATTATTTGAATTAATAATCTGTCCTATATTAATACATAAAAGAAATTTATTAAAGTACAATAAACATACCATGAATATAACACTTCTTAGCAGATGAAGGGATTCTAAGCCATTTAATTTCAGTGTCTTCATTAAGAACTTTCCACTCAATAATAAAATACATCAGATTGTAATCACTGGGTGATAGCATCCAGGAAAGAATCACACAACTGCTGTTTAAAGGATATGCACTGAGTGACTGCACAGTATTTACTGAGGGGAAAAGAAGGAAAAATATATTTAAATATAAAATTCACAAAAATCTCCTAATATCCTTGAGGAATATCTAACTTACTGAAAAAGGGAGCAGGAAGAGAAGGAAGACATTTACACAAATAAATATAACGACAGTTACTTTTGTAGTTCGTCAAACAAGGAGAAACATGTCGGAATACAGTGTGTCGAGAAACAAGATTCTACCTAAAATTCCACCACAGGATTTGGATGATCAATGATATCTTCCACTGGAATATTGTACAACTCAATTATCCACCTAATTCCCTCCAAACTCTTCTCTCCGGCTGCTGGAGGATGGACTCCTTCATCTCTTTTCCTGTGCCATAATGACTCTTGGTCAGACTGTTGTCTTGGGAGCCAGGGCTCTTCACTCCACTTCTGGGGAAGTTTAATTCCTCTACTGCTACCTAAGATAGCCTCACTGCCCTCCATTCCAGATCAGGTTCCTCTCTCCTTTTCTTTTAGGAAATTATATGCCTTTCCTGGGAACATGTATCTCAGTTTGTAATAGTCATTCAATTGTATGGTTACTTTAGTAACATCAGTCTCACCTTTTGGCTCTGAATACTGAGACCATTATAGTTTATCTCACATTGGAATTCTCACCATTTCTCACAGTGCAATATTCAATAAATATTTCTAGAGCACATTTGTTGAAAATTTTTAAAGTGTAAAACATTGTGCTAGATTCTGCAAGAAGGGACTTGCAAGAAGCTTACAATGTAAGTTCAAAAGTATTATTAATATAAGGCAAGATATAAATTACCTTTTTTTTTTTAAAGATTTATTTATTTATTTATTTATACAAGCACTGGGTACAGTCAGAAGCATGGGAGGGTGAGAGAATTCACCAGAGCCAAAGCGGAGAACAGAACAGGCAGACTGATGAAGCACACAGCTGAGGGGAGCAGCAGGCAGCAGGAGAGGTCTGCGTGCCATGTGGGACCCTCGCCCAGCAGCCGGGGATCAAACCATAGCTGCAGAGGCTGTGGGCAGCTTTGCAACCCAGCGCTCAACCGCTGAGCCACCGGGGAGGCCCGATATAAATTACTTTTTAAAAGGCAGAAACCACTCTGATTTAAAGGAAGGCCAGGGCATATATAATTGATGTAATAAGCAAAGATTTCATGGAAAGGCCTTCATAGATTAGTAGAGGTATATGAAATTTGAATTTTCCATTTAAAATTTATATTTTAAATATATTATCCAGATAAGAAATGCCTATTGAAAATATTTCTTAATTTGCTGATTAATCAAAAATATCAAAATTAATGAAAGAGGGTACATCACTCTCATATTAAATGAAGTGTAAGGTAATTTTGAAGTCTGATCAATTACTTGCATTCATATGTGTCATACAATTACATATGTGTGTTACATTACTAGAATATTACCATATACTATTATACTATTTCAATAATATTCTATTACATGAAAACTCAAGGGCCATATTACATAACCAGGGCACAATCTGTTTTGTTATTTTTCAGATAAAGAAAAGATAAAAGAGATTTGAGATTCAGAGACATATAGGCTTCTTGAAAGTTCATTTACAAATGGGAGGAGTTTGCAAAGATCAAATATTAACAGTGATTTACTACCCAATACCTTTTCTTACCTTTGCCCACAAGCCATGAGAATGTTAAATTAGAGTTTGCAAGAGAAGTGCCAATTGAATTGATGGCCAGAACTGTAACAGTATGGGCTTGCTCTGTCCACAGGAAAGTAAATGTAGTGTGATTACCCACATCTTCCGACCAAGTTCTATTGTGGGAAGTATGATGTTTGACCACGTAGCTTCTCACACTGCACAATGAATCATTTTTCATCAGAGGCTGCGGGACACATAACAGTTGATTAGTGTATCAGCATGCTTTTTATACAATCCCAGCTTAAGGAACTCTTAATATACATTTCTCACAGGAAGCCTGGGGTCAGATCAGGGCAAGCACTGCCTATTTCAAGGATGCAATTTGGGGAGGTGGAATAGGATAGGATGTGCCTCTGACAACAGGCCCAATGAAGGTATCTGTTAGGTATGGAGTACAGGAAATTTACTTTCCCACTTTGTTTTTTTTAAGACTCAGAGAATAAATCATTAGAAGGTAAAAATATATGGATACAATTAGGATACTTTCCTAACAAAAAGTTTCACTCTAAAGAATTGAGGCAAGGAGTAGTTTTCTCCTCTGGAAAGCAACAAGGACTAACCCTTTAGTTTTAAAAAGCAACCAAAAAGGGCTGAAAAGATATTAATCACCACTTATATTAATCCCAGTATCTATTATTCATATCCTCTTCCCCTGATAGCTCATCCTTCAATCCTTCAAGTAACAGAGCTATCAGGACCGAGTATATGGCAGCCCAAAATTTCTGCTCTAAAGCTAAAAAAAACCAAGATTATTGACAATTACAATATAAAATACATATAGAGTTCAATTCTATTCTTCCATTCTATGGTGTATAACATTATATCCTAATTCCCCTATCACCTTCACCTATTGCAATTAAGATTAAGTACTGTCAACCCACAGAAAGTTTGAATTTATACAGTAGTTTAGAACAGTGCTTTTCCATGTTTTGTCATTGAGATTCCTCTAAGCTAAAAATAAGAGAGAAAAATAAACACAAACATGTAGACATGTATCCCTGCAGGGCTGGAAACAATCTGGGTAGATCAGGGGTAAGATTTTGGCAGAAACTGCAAGAAAGAAATGTCTGGGAAATCATGCAAATTCTGCATTTTGTTTTTGAAAATCTATGTCAGTTATCTTACACAAATAGTTACTTTTGTAACCATCAAACAAAAATAATAAACTTCCTTTCTGGTACTGCAAGTTGCTCTAGGCCATCTTGGATATTTCTTGCCCTGGCCCTATACTGGTCATTTTCACAAGGAGCCTTAGTTCCTTCTATCGGAGAATGGTATTAGGAACAAATTGGTATGTTCCTCACTATTTCTTCACCTATTTTTCAACTCATATCTATCTATTTATCTATCTATCTATCTATCTAAATACACACACATGCACACACACACACATCTAGAAATATTTCTAAATGAATCCATCAGTATACATATTAAGCTACACGAGAGTTCACACTGATGTCTCCAACTCTAACCCATCACCAATGGGTTAATCTGGTCTCCTTGCTTGTCTGTAACTGGTCCAACAGTAAGTCTTATCCACCAACATTTGTTTACATAATTGTTGAAGTTCAGCTTGTAAATAATAATGGAATAAGAATAATTAATGAATACCCCATGAGAAATAACTTTATCAACCAGAACATAGTACTTAAGCACAATTTCTTTTGCCCTTAGTTGAAAGAATCTACTCATTTATGAAGTTACTTAGACCTGCATCTTTTTCTCCCCCTTCTTTGTGAGATTGTTTCAAACACTTGAAGTGTAATTAGATTCTCTTGTTGAAGTCTGGATTCCATCCTGGGATCCTCCAACCTCTTAGATATTTATTATAACTGTGTTCTTTGTGCTCTAAAGTTTTATGAGTTTTGGCACGTACATAGTGCTATGAACTCACCAGAATAATACTGGAGATTCGTTTCACCACTATAAAAAACCCCTTGTGTTTCTTTCACCTTTTCAAAACTTTCCCCATCAGCCAAAATACTGATGGTTTTAAAATATCTAAAATTATGCCTTCTCTCTAATATCATATAAGTGGAATCATAATGTGGCTTTTTCAGACAGATTTCTAACACTTGGCAGCAACCATTTAAGATTCATCTATGTCATTTTGTGACTTTATCACTGTATAATATCCATTGAATGGAATTGCAATAGTTTATCCACTCACCTATAGAAGGATATCTTGATTGCTTCCAGTTTTTGATGATTATGAATAAAACTGCTGTGAATATTCATATGCAATTTTTTCTTGAGATATAATTGACATATAACATTGTATTAGTTGTATATATTTAACATCAAATATATACATATTTGATATATGTATATATTGTGAAGTGATCACCACAATAAGTTAATACACATCACCACACATACTTACAAATTTTTTTCTCTTGTAAGAACTTTTAAGATTTACTATCCTAGAAACTTTCAAAAAACACAATACATATTGTTAATTATTACCACCATAATGTACATTACATCTCAGGAATTATTTATCCTATAACTGGAAATTTGTTACTTTTGCTCACCCCATCCCCCTGCCTCTGGCAACCACCAATCTATTCTTTGTTATTTATTAGTTCAGTTTTTGGCGTTTTTTAGATTCCACATATATGTCTTCCTCTGCCTGACTTATTTTACACATGTGCAAATTTTTATGTGGACACAAGTTGGGTAAATAAATAGGGCAGTGCTGGGTCATATGGTAAGAATATGTTTAGCTTTATAAGAAATGATTAAATGGTCTTAAAAGGTGACTGTACCATTTTGCATTCCCATCAGCAAAGAACAGAAGTTCCTGTTGCTTTGTTCCATCATAAGCAACTTTTGTCAGTTTTTTAAATTTTAACCATTCTAAAATCTTGTTTTAATTTATGATTCCTAATGAAATAATGTTTGCCAAAATATGATCAAGTTATTAATTCACTTGGGATAGAAATCAGTTCAATGGTAGAGGGAATGCTCTGATGATTGCTAGGATGGATATCCTCTGATGATGAAAACATCTTACTTATATGCCATCACATACACAAAATAATCTCTATGGCTTGGTAACCTGATACATGTGAGGATGGACACATTTACTATTTTTAGGAATAAATATAAATAGAGGGCCTCCCTGGTGGCGCAAGGGTTTGAGCACAGTGCTGTGAAGATGTCCTCAGCCTCTGCAGCACAAGTTCAATCCCCAGCCAGGCAGCTACCCACATGGTGCAGCAGACCTCTCCTGATTCACCTGCTGCTCCCCTCAGTAGTATACTTCAGTCTATCTGCCTGTACTGTTCCCCGCTCTGTCTCTGGTGAATCCTCTCACCTCCCACAGTGCTGGCCTGTACCCCAGTTCTTGAATGCATAAATAAATAAATCTTTTTAAAAATAATAAATGCAAATATAATTTTTGGACACGAAGGAACACTAGGTATTATCTAGTCCAGTCCTACATTTATTCAGATGAGGAAAATGAGGTTAAAGAGTCTAAGTAATATACCTGAAGGGTGTAATCCTATATGTCTAAATTTAATATATGTATATGTTATAACCGATAATTAAAAAAAAAGAATCTCAGTGACTTTGCCAAAATAGTGTAGAAATAACTATTATATGTTAAATTAAGAACAGAATTAAAGTCTCCTGATTCCATGCCAATGTTCCCTCCACTATGTATCTTAGTTACCTGCAATAACATCTCAAAACTGAATGAAATATGAAGTTACAGAGCCTAAACATGGCAGGATTATGAACAATAAAGTAAATCTTTTAAAAGTATAAAACTAAAAATTACGAAGAACAAAAAAGCAGGAATACCTTCCAAAGTAAAGTGACATTTCTCTCTTTTTCAGTGGTATCTTCATTAATGATTCTCCAAAACTGAGGTCCTCTGGCAGGAACTGTATAACAACAAGGAGCCCAAATTGTACTTGTGTTCTTGGGAGGATTGTTTTTCAGTCATCCTCAAAAGACACACTCATGCATTTCTAAGACACATGTACAAAAGCTCTGCAGACCTTTTATATCCGTGACAACGGTGTGGACTGGAGCACTCCAGTTGCTCCAATACCCCAGGTCATCTAGCCTCTTACAGCGCATCTGAACAACATAGATGGCGCAAAGGTCTGGCACCGGGACACTGGCGGATTTTGAGTTTTCATCATACACCTCATGCATCTGTAAAATAAGCCAAAGCATTAGACTGATCATAACAAGTGAGTAAATAAGAACCCTGGAGTACCTATTATCCCATCCCAAAGTTAAAAGAGCACTGACTTTGTGTATTTGTTTTTAAAATACTCAGATTAAGCTTTAGATTGTGAGCTCCGTCAAGTTAAAGATTATTTTAGTCACCTAATATTTCCTTGCTTATGACAAGATTTTGAACTGATCACTGTAACCTCACTTTCCAATTACTCTTACCCTACTAATAATCTCTGCTCCACTCACAAATAATCTTCTGTCCACAAAGACTTTTGAGAACTTTAACCTACTGGTTAAATAGGGCCTGCTGTAGAGAATTTCTGATATTCAGTCTCTTCAGTAAACAGGTAAACAGTTACATTCATTTCAGCTCAAACCCTCACTGTAATCAAATGATGATATTAGGGCTCCCGGTATTTTCAGGTCTTTGCAGGCTGCCACCAGAAAACTGACATGGTAAGCCATCATATGCACACTTGCCACAATGGGTTTTAGTTTTGTTTGATGAAAGTGGCTTCTTGCAAAACGTTTCATTGAATATACAAACACTAAAGTATGTGATTATTAGATGTTAAGGGAAAAACGGTTTCTTAGTAAAATGAGTTTGAGAAACATAGGCTGAAATACAGCCACAGATGTTTCTTTAATGGAGGACCTCTCCAAAACCATGACTATGTTCTAGGGACAAAGAGCGATACAGAGTTTCCTAAATTTATTTAGCCAAGTGATCTTTCCCTAAGGAACATTTTGTGGACCAACGCTCTGTAAAACATACTTTGCAAAATGATGGAGAGCAGGAAATTTAATTCCTTAAAAGGGTTAGACTTAGATCAATTTATTTGATAAAAATAGGTACAGAGTACAGGAGGATGTACTTTTATATATATTTTTTTTTCTTACATCATTTTTCATTTTTGCACAATGTACACATTTTCATCTTGGTTATATTCCTCACACAATTGCACCCCCCCTTATTTTGACCCCAATCCCTCCTCTCCCGGCCCACACCCCGTAGTGTGTCTCTGTTTTATAGTTGCTTGTTGATTTTGATTTTTTCTTTATTATAGTTATTCTTTTTCCTGGTCCCTTATTTAGGTTTTCTCAGGAGGATGGACTTTTATGCCAACAAAATAAATCTTATGCAATAAATTCTTAAACATGGGAAATAACATTTAGTGAGGCAAGCTAGAGAGATTTCTAGGTAAAGTTACCTTCCATTGTACTTCTTTTCCACTTAAGCCATAGCGAATCTGGAACTGAAGATCATTCTCCGGAAAGATTGGCTTTTCCCAAGATATTTTCAGTAGTCCAGTATTTACAGTAATTTCTGCTCTCACTCTGGATGGAGGCAGTGGTTTCACTAGAAAATTTTAGAAAACAGTATTGCATAACAGTAATTTAACTAGCATTGATGCTTATAAAACATTATGATATTAATCTTTCAAATCTTATCTTTATAAAGCAATTATCTCCTTTTCAAAACTTTCTCATTCATAATCTCAGCTGATCCCCTGTGAACTTTATATCATACATAGAAAGGGATTATCTCTATTTTGCAAATACAGAAGTATTTTGAAAAAAATCAATAATTGTCCATGTCACTGTACAAATTAACAGTAAGACATGATGAGAAATTGAGTCACTGGTTCAGCATGTAAAAATATATCAAACTAAACATGTGATAACTTCCTTGCTCTAATTATGTCTTTACCTATCTATCCATCCATCTATCTATTGAGATGTTGTTAGTTCACACTGCATATGTTGTAGGGGAACATGTTCACACAACCTTAAGATGCAATGTCACCACACCACTTCTGCATGGTTTCCCAAGAAAATAGTATATGGCAGCAAAAGATATACTTTCAAGTCTGCTGCACAATCATAAGTAGGTCATTTCTCAAAGATTTCACAGCAATCCTGGAAGGATTTGTTAAATTTTCCAAGGACTGGGCCTCCCCGGTGGTGCAGCGGTTGAGCGCTGGGTTGCGAAGCTGCCCGCGGCCTCTGCGGCGCCGGTTCCATCCCCGGCTGCTCCCCGGCCACTGGAGGAGGGTCCCACATGGCGCGCAGACCTCTCCTGCCGCCCGCTGTTCCCCTCAGCAGTGTACTTCGGTCCTTCTCCCTGCTCTGCTCCCCGCTCTGGCTCTGGTGAATTCTCTCACCCTCCCGTGCTTCTGACTGTACCCAGTGCATGTATAAACAAAACAAAACGAACAAATAAATAAATAAATAAATAAATAAATAAATAAATAAATAAATAAATAGCATGCCTCTATAAAAAAAAAAAAAATTTTCCAAGGACTCTCTTAATCCTTTGAAGCCAAATATCTTTTTAAATATGCTGATGAATGTCATCATCCTTGTCTGTTTTCTCTTCTTCATAGTGCATTATTTTAAATAATATTACTAAATTTCATTCTCAGTAATCAATATAATTCATGGAATAGTTTGCTGAAAATATCCCTATTGCTAAAAATTTGTCATAAATAACTTGAAATAAAATTATTCATTCATATGATATATAGAAAAAAACACAGATAAATTAAATAGGATAAAAATTAAACTTTTGGACTATAAGACCAATTAGTGATTGCCAGAAGGGAAGGCAAAGGGGGTGAGTAAACTGGAACAAAGGGGTGTAAAGGAGTGATTTGGACTTTCCTTGGTGAACTTAAAGAGGTATATTCATATGTTGGTTCCCAAAGATGAATACCTGAAACTTACATGCTATAATGCAATGTTACTTCCAATAAAGAAAATGTTTTTAATTGTAAAACTTTCTAAGACTGATAATCTCCTCAAATCCCTTGCTGAACAAGAAAACAAAACTTAATCTAGTGTGATCAGGAAATGACAAAACATAAGAGTTTCCTGGAATCATTCTGAGTCCAAATCTGCTTATCAAAATGAAGATACAAACAGTTTGACATACCCACAGAATCAGGAACAAAACATGTTGGTGGAGAATCAAGCAAACCTAAAGAGTGATTGATCCTAATCCACATTGTGTAGCCAGATAATAGAAAGATTGGCTGAAATACGCATTCATAAAAACCATCTCTCTGCAAATGGCAATCTTTGGGTTCAGATATAGGACGAATGGATGGAATATCAGAGCAGTAAAGGCCTCTCCTTAAAAGATACAAAAACAGTCAATTAACCAATTGATAACATTGGTAAAAGCTGTAAGATAACTGAGAACTCTGTTCTTTAAGACAATCAATGTAGGAAAAAATGTTCTTACTAGAAACGCATTTTTCAATCCCAGCTATATCACAATCTTATACCTTTCCATGAAAACAGACAGTAATCCTTACTAAATATTTCATTACACACTCAGTGGGATGCACATAAAATAAATGACATTGGTCTAACAAGGAGATAACAGTTCAGTTAGAGGTAGAATCTACAGCACTTTGAAAGCTAAACTAGTATTATGCCAAAGTGAAAAATTCTTAAAGTATAGATCAAAAGTAGTAACACAGCATTCCTTAGATTGGAAGGCAAATTCCTTGCACTTTAAGTAGAGATTAAATGCCACAACAAATGGAAAGCATAATTGATAGTAAATAATGCTTAATTACAGTCCTAATATTTTCTAGTTCAAAACAAGATAATTTTTAAAAATGTCAGTTATTTATTACTATATGAATCATATAATCAAGTGTATGACTAATTTTCTCTGAGAAGAAAATTAAGAAAAAATATTTAAGTGAACTCTAATCAACAATTCACTCAGAACACACTAAGCTTTTCTCTACTTCTTTGAAATAGTCCTTCTGTCACCATTTGCTTCTGAAAATGGCATTTAAATACGCAAAAGTAGCAGTTAGTTTCCATAAGAATGGAAGTAAGAAGGTCAAAAGAATAAATTCTGCATTCTTCTTTTCTATTTCCATTTTTTTGTGCCACTTTTTTTCCTATTTCCTCAAAATTATGATCATGGTGTGTGTGTATGTGGTGTTTGTGTGTATGTGTGTTTATGTGTGCATGAGTGGTGATGAGTGGGTTAAAAAAATAAGAACAGACCTCATATGGAAGCACAGTAATAGTCTACCTGGAACCCAAAGGTTAGTATCAGTATAATTATGACAAAAATAACCCTTGACTGAATGTTTATCAGGAGAAATTATATCAATGATTTAGAATTAAATGAGATATGTCATTAGTTCTCAGAGGAACCCCATGAATACTATTATTCTTGCCATTTTCAGACAAGGAAATTGAGACTTAGATTTAAAAAAAAAAAAAACTCTCCCTTTCATGATTCTTATACAAATATAAGATAAATGAGACAGAGTTTATTAAATAATCACTCACAAACACATTTTCTAATGTGAAAATGTCATGGAACAAAAGTAAATACAGATTATAAAAGTAAAACTGCATACCATGCACATTCTATGGATTTAAAAATCCTTTTATCAGATAATATGAAGCTCATTTGAGAAACACAGAAATTGCCCTCATTTTCTCAATACTACATAATAATAGATTAGTAATATTAGGAATAGAATTTAGATCACAGAACTTGAAGAAGGTGAATGGTTTTACAAATAGACCATTTAGATTTTAAAAATAAATGAATACAAGTTAGACAAATTGAAAGTCCCAATACATATATGAATTGTGACCAAGTTTGAAAGCTGCACACCTTCTTGAGAACTAGTATGGGATATTATAAAAATTAAAATGCATCTATCATCTCCTAACCATGGGAGATTTTAGGTGAAATTCTTTGTAGAGAGAATACTATAGAAAAATACCTTCTACATTTTTAAACAAGGAAGGGTAAAAATAAAGGAGCACAAATTACTCTTTATTAGAAAACTTTCTTACTAAGTTTCTCTTTTAAATAACCTTACCTACTTCTAAAGTCATTCATATTGTCTCTTACAATCTTCATGCCTCTACCACTAACATTTTTCTAAAGCATTAATCTTTAGCAAACAACAACAGTCTTCTATAATCTTCAAATTTCTCTAGTGAATTCTCTAAATCAAATTTAAATGAATAGAAACTAACTACTTTGGAATTTCATCCAATAGTTAAAATGCAATTATGAAGAACTGATTGTCAAGAAAAAAATTACAGTAAATTCAAATTAAAAAAATTTTTACCTTAAGTGTGAATTTTTTCAAGAAACATCCATATACTATAATCCCTCAAAATTTTCCTAATTAAGTATATTCTACCTCCTAGTTCAGGAAGGAAATCTACAAGGTAAACATTGTATGATATTTCTATAGGAAATTTTTATCTCACCCTAGCCACAGAAAATAAAGCAGCAAAAAAAAAAAAAAATACATACCTATGATACCTCAACTGCAAAGTACTTCCCACAAGTGATTCGATTGCATTGGTTGACCATCTGCATGTCATTTTAGTTAAGTACCCATCAGTTTCACACGATATATTGATATTGACATCTATTTAAAACATTAAAATATTAATGTAAAGCAAAAACACCAGAAATTATTAATGAAAAAAACTTCCCTTACATCTTCAATGGGACTCTAATATATGGGTCCATAATAAAAATGAAGAAAATCTTGTATTCTTACCAATCACATACAGCTCAGCATAGCGATGGTGACATTCATGCTCGTGGCAACAGTACACAGCATCGTAGGTGAACTTCCCTCGAGGTTTGGTTGCATTCAAATTGGGAAAAGTAACTTTGCTAACATAGTCACCCACAGCATTATACTGGCTTTGAGGAATTTTCTCAGCTAGATTCATCCACCAGACAATCTCCTTTGAAGAAACAATCTCGTTTTCCTTTTTATAGATGCAGTGAAAAGAAACATTGGACCCAACACTTGTCAGAATTTTAGGTGGAAAGTAAATAACATCTGTAATGAGAAAAGAAAGGTAGGCTATCTGATGAAGACAGAAACCATCGTGAAGCAATTCACACCATGTTAAAAAGATTCACATCACAGTCTGAATTACACTGCCAAAAATAAAATGAGTGTTCTTAGAGACTGCAGCAAAACTGTAATTGTCTATTTGTGTACAGTTATTGAGTATTCCAAGAACTCCTGTTCTCAAATGATATGAGCTTCCATAAGTGCCTTCTGTATTTCCTAAACACAGAGATTTATTCATCACAAACTTAGTGAGTGCTAATAGGAAAATAATGAAAATTAAATTCAGCCTAATTCCACCATGATGGGTATGTTTCATTCAGACTCTGCTTTCAGAATGAATAACCCTGAGGGTGAGTTCTTAAATCAAAATCACAAAACCCCAAAAGAAAAGTGGGAGTTGCTTATTGTCTCATTTGGTATATGATAATTTCAAATAAACAGGCAAATGAAAAATGGAAGCTTAAATAAGAAATCAAGTAAGGAAATAGAAACTGAATGGTGTAACAATAAAGCAGGAAAAACTGTAAACTCTAAACATTAAGCATGTTTAGTTGCTTAATGCCAGTATCCTGTTGTTGAAGATGAAGAGATCAATATTTTTCTAAAATATTGTTTTAATACCTATAAACTAGTCCATAATCCTTTTGAAGTTCACTATTGTTAGAAACATAACTTGACTAGATGTTTAACTAGAAACAGATAAGAATATAAGTTAATAGTTGTTTACATAGGAAGAAACTTTCTGCCACAGTACATTATAAAATCAATATATTTTGACTACACTGTTGAAGGTGGGCCACCTTCTGCTGATAGAATATGAAATCTATTTTCACATATACCTCCTGGATTAGACCCCAAAACAAAAACAAAACAACATAACTGGTTTTATTATTTAAGCTTTCTCTTTTCTGTAATAGCATGTTAGCCCCCAATGTCTTTTTTTATTTATAATGCATACTAGACATTTGTATCTGTGTATCTACAAACAAACATAAATGAGAAAATACTTAGCAGCATGAAAGTATAGGACAAAAGTCAGTCAATTAGATTTATAATCAAGCCCAGAGTGGCACTCAAGCCTCATGATATATTACTTACTGTACCCATGTGCTGAGCACTAACCAGAGAAATTGTTAACTGAACTTCAATATTTAATTTGTAAAATAAGAAAACAATAATGGGCAGACCAGGCACACAGGATAGTGCCTCTCCACATTGCTATTTTAGAACAGGGACCTTTCTTCAATGAAGACTGCTTGAAACTGGCAGAAGGCTCCCAAGAGCCAGAGGTAAGCTGGGAAGTTCGCCCACGCCAGGCCCCTTCTGGCCAGCAGTCCAAGCCCAGAGGGGGAGCGGGCACCCAGGGCCGGGGCAGACAGGGCACACAGGAGAGTGCCTCTCTGTCTTGCCATTTTAGAACAGGGACCTTTCTTCAATAAAAACTGCTTGAAACTGGCAGGAGGCTCCCTGTGGAGCCAGAGGGAGAAGGTTCCCTGCGCAGTCAAAGGTGAGCTGAAGGCCCACAAGCCTAGTCCCACCTGGCAGGAAGTCAGAGCCCAGAGGGAGATCCAGAAATTTGGAACCCAGAGTGCAATCCAGCTGCCCCACCTCCAGGGAAGTCTGCGGGACTTCAAGACACACCTTTGTAATTAAACACAAAAGGAGGAGATATTCTGTGACAGTGACCATCAACATACTCAAAGTACCACTGCCTGCCTCACTAGACTTCTGGTTTAACAGTATTTGATTCATTTGGATTGCCAGCTTCCAAAACCCCCGAAAGAGCACAACAAAAAGATGTCGGCCAGTACTAGCGGCACAGTGTCCCAATGCATAGGACAAATTAGAAAACAAGCAGCAGGGAGAAGAAAAACTACATGCAACCAAGCAAGTACTCAGGAAAAAGACATACAACAAAAAGAAAACCACCCACCAGCTTGCAACAACAGTGACTTGGAAGAACTTCAGAGCTTTCCAGAGAAAGAATTTAAAAATACTGTGATGAAAAAACTGACGGAAGTCATTAAGGAAAACAATGCTCAGAAAAATGAAATTGAATCCTATGGAGGGAAATGAAGGAAATACATGAGATCAAAGGATTAACAGAAGAGCTAAAGAATGCTGGGAAAAGCAGTGAAAACAGAATAGAGGAAATGGAGAACGAATAAGCACTCTCGAAGACACAGATATAAAAAAAAAAAACCAAAACAGAAAAGGAAAGAGAAGTACGAACGAAAAAAAAAACTGACGAAAGACTTCGGGAACGATCTGACTCCATGAGGAATGGAAATACGAGTTATAGGAATCCCAGAAGGAGAGGAGAGAGACCTAGGAACAGAGAAATTATTCAAGGAAATAATTTAAGAGAATTTCCCAAACGTGAAGAAGGAGCTGAAAACAGACATACAAGAAGAAAGAAGAACACAAAATTTCCATGACGAAAGGGAAAATACAGCAAGACACATAATAGTAAAGCTCCCAAGAATCCAAGACAAGGGAAAAATAATGAGGCTGACAAGAGGGAAGAAACAGATAACATACAAAGGAAAACCGATAAGACTGACATCAGACTTCTTCGAAGAAACACTCCGGACAAGGAGAGAGTGCAGGGACATAGTCAACAGACTCCATGACAAAAAATGCTAACCAAGAATACTCTGTCCTGCAAAGCTTTCCTTCCTCTATGAAGAAAGAATAAGGACCTTCCCAGACAAACATAAACTCTGGAATTCCATTACGACTAAACACCCACTCCAAAAATGCTACAAGGAGTCCTAAAGCCAGAACCTAAGAGGGAAGAATAACAACGGAAGAAGACCAAAAAAAAAGTCATTAAAAGAATAAATAAATAAAATGAGAGGAAGGACAAACACAATGGCAAATACAGATGCTAACATATCAATATTAACTCTAAATGTAAACGGACTAAACTCTTCAATAAAAAGACACAGAGTCACAGGCTTGATTAAGAAACAAAACCCAACCTTTTGCTGTCTCCAGGAAACACATTTAACTACAAAAGATAAAAATAGACTCAAAGTCAAAGGATGGAAAACAATCCTACAAGCAAATGGACCAAAAAAAGAAAGCAGGAACAGCTATACTTATATCAGATAAAACAGATTTCAAACTCAAAAAGATAAAGAGACCCCAGTGGTCACTACATTATGATCATGGGGACAATACTTCAAGAAGAAATAACACTCATATACTCACCAAATGAAGGAGCACCAAAATATATCAGACAACTATTATCATCTTTGAAAACAGACATCAGAGAAAACACATACGTTGTAGGAGATTTCAACACACCACTATCAAAAATGGATAGATCAATGAGACAAAAAATAAGTAAAGATACTAAAGCTCTAGATAAGGATCTAGAGTGCTTGGGCTTAATAGACATCTATAGAACACTAAACCCCAAAAAATCTGAGTACACATTTTTCTCAAGCGCACATGGATCATTCTCCAGGATCGATCACATACTAGGACACAAGACAAACATCAACAGATACACCAAGATCGAAATCATACCAACCATCTTTTCTGACCATGAAGGCATCAAACTAGAAATAAACCATAAAAAGAAGGCAAGGAACTCTCCTACCTCATGGAGATTGAAACCCACACTACTGGAAGACCACTGTACTAATGAGGAGATCAAAGAAGAAATTAAAAAATTCTTTGAATTGAATGACAAGGAGGACACCAATTTCCTAAATGTATGGGATGCAGCAAAAGCAGTAATAAGAGGAAAATATATAGCAATAGAGGCTCACATTAAGAAACAAGAAAGAAAGAACTCAAAGAAACAACCTAATCTGAAAGCTTAAAAGTATTAGAAAAAGAACAACCAAAAAATCCAAAACCAGTGGAAGAAAAGAAATAATAAAAACTAATGCAGAAATAAATGAAATTGAAACTAAAAAAAAAAAAATCCAAAAGATTAATGAAAACAAAAACTAGTTCTTTGAAAAAATAAATAAAATAGACAAACCCCTAGCCAGGCTCACAAAGGAAAAACGGGAGAAAGCACAAATAAACAGGATCACAAATGAAAGAGGAGAAATAACAATGGACACAGAAGAAATTAAAAGAATAATCAGAAACTACTATGAACAGTTATATGGAAACAGGTTCAATAATCTAGAGGAGATGGACAAATTCCTACAAATCTACAATCACCCAAAGCTAGATAAAGAAGAAATAGAATACCTAAACAGACCAATTACAAACAGTGAAATTGAAATGGTAATTAAAAACCTCCCCAGGGGGCCTCCCTGGTGTCCAAGCAGTTGAGCTCTGGGTTGCGAAGCTGCCGGCAGCCTCTGCAGCACTGGTTCAATCCCCAGCTGCTCCCCTGCCACCGGAGGAGGGTCCCCCATGGCGCACAGACCTCTCCTGTCACCCGCTGCACTCCTCAGCAGTGTACATCGGTCCTTCTGCCTGCTCTGCTCCCCGCTCTGGCTCAGTGAATTCTCTCACCCTCCTGCACTTCTGACTGTACCTAGTGCTTGTATAAATAAATAAATAAATCTTTAAAAAAAAAAAAAAAAAGAAACAATAGCTTTTCCTTTAAAAAAAAAAAAAAAAAACCTCCCCAAAAACAAAAGCCCAGGACCTGATGGATTTACAAATGAATTCTACCAAACATTCAGAAACAAATTAGTGCCTATCCTTCACAAACTCTTCCAAAAAATTGAGAAGGAAGGGATAATACCAAACTCGTTCTATGAAGCCAACATTACACTAATACCAAAAACGAACAAGGACAACACACAAAAAGAAAACTACAGGCCAATCTCTCTAATGAACACTGATACAAAAATCCTCAATAAAATTTTAGCTATCAGAATCCAACAATGCATCCATAAGATAATTCACCACGACCAAGTAGGATTCATTCCAGGGACACAAGGATGGTTCAACATCTGAAAATCAATCAACGTCATCCAGCACATCAACAAAAAGAAATATAA